GGAGGGAAAGAGAAATTAGGAAAAGACAGAGAATAAGAGAAGAAAAAATGGTATTTGAAAATTCAAAAGATATATGTGTTGTGGTCTTCAAGAAGAATACAAAAACATAGATGGATTTCATGGGAATAATAGTAGACACTAAGAACAATACATATCAAATAAATATAGTCGGGATTGGGGAGATGGCTCAGTAGAATAAATGCTTTTCTAGCAAGCGCAAGGGTCTGAGTTCAATCTCCGGTTCCACCAAACAAACAAATAAACAAATAAATAAATATATCCTTCATTTATATGTGGTTTTGGAGCACAAAGTATCAAATAATCAGTGCAAAAGGATTAAAATTATTAATACAATGTAAAAGAATATTAAAAACAATCGTGGCCCCAGGTAATTTGAAGTAGATAGAATTTAGAAAGGACTGAGGCAGCTTTTAACAATTTTGTTGTTATATAGCACTAGAAAAATATTAATGAGAATATTTATTTCAATCTTATAATTTAAAATTTGATCTTATTTCTCACATATGAACATGTACATATTTAAAGCTATAGCACAATATCTACTTACACATATATTTAAACTATATGTTGTACAAATTATTTTTCACAGTTTTCAATAGTTTTAAAGTCATTAAAGGTGAATTTCCAATAAGATGAATAAAAATCCTGCTACATTTTTTAGTGTTTAAGTGGCTTACAGGACTAAGGGCTTCACCTCACACACACTAATGAATTTTACTTTCACTAAATATTACTAGGTAGATTGCTAATTACCAAGTCTCTCTTAAAGTTTAATATTAATTTCCTTATGTATAAACAAATGATTCAGCAGAAGCAAATTCGGGTATGGAAATATAAGTTAAATACCTTTCCTAGAACACTAGCAATTTCTCAAGGATTAAAGAAAAACACTACGCTACTTGAGATAGAAACACAGCATACCACACTCATGTAAAAAGTCAGAAAAGTATGCATTTTTCATTTTGAAAAATACAGTTCCAGTAACTCTGCTGAAATCCTGCTAGAATTCAGGCTACCTATATTTCCTGCTTATTGCCTGGTCATTATTTGGCCCACACCTAGAGAAGCTGAACCCCCTTTTCAGTACAAACTGATCACCCATAATTTTTGCACCACTGGATGACCACTTAAAAATCTACATTCACTGTCATGTATAATATTTAGTTAACCCACGTAGGACATGGAAGACTCCAATCAAGTCTCTGTTCACAGTTTAAAACATGTATCTGATCTGTCTGGGTCACTGTCCTGGCCTTTTCCACCAAGGCATCTCATTTCATTTTGTGGCCAGGGACTGTCACTTTGAGAACACAACCATTGTGTGCCTATTTGTAGTCACTATGATAACTAAAAATATTCTGGAAGAGTATAAGAAATTAAACTCCTTGTGAGGGTAAGTGAGGGAGGGATTGGGAAATGTTGGTCAGTGGGTATTAAGTTATAGAAAAGAGAAAGGATTTCTGATGTTTTGTTGTAATTACTACAGATGAAGATAAAGTGTTATATGTGTCTAAAATGCAGGAAGAGGTTTCTAAATTGTTTAACACAAAGAAGTGATAAATGTTGGAGGAAACAAATTTGTGTTTTCCTCCACCAGAGTGTTCTGTTCTATATGGAAACATCACTTGACATCCAATAACTAGTACCACGTTTATGTGTCAACTGAAATTAAGTGACAAGGGGACTAATAATAAACATAAAACTAGATTATCAACTGAAATGACTAATGAAAATAAATTTTATGTTCATTAAAAAATTTGAAATAAAGTTTTTTGGGTTTTTTTTGGAATTTGGAAAGCCGTTTATTACTGAGCCCAGGGCCCCCATCAGCTCTCAC